GTGTGTTTAAATTAGGCTTCTGTCCAGCTAGATTTCTCTGTAAATCAGAGGTTGCATTCAGCTCTGGGCAGCAGACAAATAGCAGTTTACACTTGGGTGTCAATTCTAGCCTCTGCCCACCCGCTGCCTTTTTCTCAGGTGTATTAGATCCTGAGGGCTGGTGCTTTACTTATGAAAGTTATCTGCATTTTGCCTGTGGCTGCTGTCCGGAACCTCTGTTTGCCCAGAGAGACGGGGATGGAATGGCGTCAGTTTGCAGCTCAGGATGCCACTGTTGCTGTATTGGCATCCCCTGAGCCGATTTTCTTCTCCTCACACCTGTGCCACAGTCAGCACAGAACAGCACCAGCCCTTTTTCCCTCCACTTCTTTCAAGGAGATGCCCAAGAATCTGGATTCCATAGGTAAACCTCCAGACCTCGGAGTCGGTGGGTGGGGACTCCTCAGAGTTCAATGTTGCAGGTGGGGAATATATGCAGTTTTATACAGTTTTACAGTTTTATGCCTGGCCGGAGGGTGCCGTGGCATGCCAGCAGGGGTAGGAGGTCCAGTTTTTATGGGATCTCTCCCGTGAGATAGAGTGGGAGGAAGTTTGAACTCTGCTTGCTTGTTTGCATGGAGTAAACTGCGAGCCCTTGTTGTGGGGGAGGGGACTCCCATCTGCTTGGTGGTGGATTTTGTACCTTTTGGTTGTATTTTTGGGGTTGCAGCTCACCTCAGGAAGGTTGAAGTGCACTCTTCAATCTTCTCTCTTGGCTCTGCTCCAAACCATCAGCCAACATGATAAACTTCTGTCCCTCAAGCCTCCTTCTGGATGGGAGCTTCTGCAAAAAGCTGGCTGCAGTCTGCCATCTTGAGTCCACCCCGCCATGTTGGCTCCACCCCTGGGGTGAACTTTTCTTAGCTTCTTCATAACCATCTGGGTGATCAGACTCCCATTCATCCTGTCTCCATGCCTCTGTAGGAGTAAGCCTTGTTTTACTGTATGGTGATTCCAAAGCCAGAAGTAGTGAGTCTGGGAATGTGAACATGACAACAAGAAGCCTTAAAGTCCTTCCTTTAGGTGAAAAGGTGACATCTTGACTTAATATTGCATGCTGATGTTTACAGGATATATGGCAGGAACAAACCTTTATCCTTGAAATAGTGAAGGAGAAAGAAATGGCTCCTAGTTTTGCTGTCACACCTGAAACTGCAAAGGTTATGGCTATAGTTTGTCATGAATGCTTAGTTAAAAGATGGAAAAGGCATTAAATTTGTGGGCAGGAGATGTGAATAGAACCTGTTGGATGGCAATTGGGTTGGGCATAGTGTGAAGTCTCAGATTTCCCACTTCAGGTCTTGGGACATGTTCCTCAGGAATAAGGGGATGTTCAGTGCTTATGATAGCCAGGATTTGAAGTCACCCTTCCTGGGTGGATAAAGAAATGTGGTCTGTGTACACAATGGTCTACAATTCAGCCTTAACAAAGAAGCAAATCCTGGCTTGGTGCCCATAGCTCAGTCACACTGCTGGCCACATGCACTGGGGCAGGCTTGTTCAGACCTGGCCAAGGCCTGCTAAACAACAATGACAACAATAACAACAACAAAAAACAGGTGGGTGCCTGTAGTTCCAGCTACTGGGAGGCTGAAACAAGAGAATCACTTAAGCCCAAGGGTTTAAGGTTTCTGTGAGCTGTGATGCCATAGCACTCTACCTAGGGGGACAAAGTAAGACTCTATCTCAAAACACACACACACACAAAGAAGCAAATTCTGTCAGTTGCAGGATGAGTGTGGAGGATATTATATGAAGTGAAATAATCCAGGCACAGAAAGACAAAAAACATATGATCTTACTCCTATCTAGACTCTCAAAATTTCCAGCTTATAGCACCAGACAGCAGAATGGTGGTTTCCATGAACCTGGTGATGGTTTGGAAGATGTTGGCCAAAGGATACAAAGTTTCATTTAGGGGGATAAATCCTGGGTACCTACTGCACAGCACAGTGATTGTTAATAGCAACCTATTATGGACTATAGATTTTAAGTGTTCTCATTGCAAAAATAGAAAAGGAAAAGTAAGTATGTGAAGAAATTCAGGTGTTAATGAGAGAGGATACCTGGGAAGGTTGAGGTCTAGGAGAACCAGTCTTCTCAAGGACACCTCAAGCATACACCAGCAGGGTCCTCTCCATGGTGACTCAGCTCTTAGGAATTTGTAGATTTAACTTCCTGGCACCTGGAAATTTCCACTTCTGTGAAATCCTGTAGTTCTGTGGGGGCTGGAATAGCATCTCCTGCTTGATTCATACTGACCAATGAGAAAGGTACCTGTGGGTTGGAACTTTCTGACTGGAGATAAAAATGGAAAAACCAAGCCAGTCAAGGAGTACGGCCATTTCACATTCTTCTATGCCATTTTCTCTGCCAGCTGAAATAAAGCCTTTCCTCTTATAAACATGGTGTTTGGGTGCTCTTTCTCTCCATTGGGCCTCATCTTCCTACAACATTAATTAGCTTGATTGAGCCACTTTACAATTTTTTTTTTTTTGCAGTGTTGGCCAGGGCCAGGTTTGAACCTGACACCCCAGGTATATGGGGCTGGTGCTCTACTCCTTGGGCCACAGGCACCACCCTTACAATGTATTTTAAAACATCATGTGGTACCCCATAAATATATAACATTGTTGGTCTGTAGTGGGAAACCAACACAGACAGAAGGCTCCAGGCACCAGTTGATTAGAGGAAGCGGGTTTATTCTGGCTGGGGGTTAACTCGGAACACCAGTGTGTCTCCAAAACAGAGCCTCCTGACTCAATCTCTTGTCTCTCTTTTATCCACTTTTCAGGGCGGGAATGCACGTGAGGATCATAAAACAGAGAGACATGACATAATCCTCAAGGTCCCGGGCTCAAGGGGGAAGGTCAGATTCGCTCTTGTCCTTGAGACTGGTCGGACCACCTACCCTCAAAGGTGATGGAAGTCCAGGGAAGTTACTAGGTTACAATCTAGGCCCCCCCGTATGTCAAGGAAGAAACATACAGACAACAGAAATGCCTGTGGCTTGGCTGAGGCCTACACAGTGTGGCTAGGACAGATTCTTTTAGTTCTGCTCTTACTTTCTTGCCTCAGGTCAACTAAATTATTTTTAATTAGACAAAAGAATAATCTCAATATGGGTATCAGCTCCTCCTTGAGAGTAGGTATTATAAGCAAAACATGTAACTATAGTATAGTAAATAAATCTTCAGTCTAGATTATTCCTGTAGAATCTAATGTACAAATTAATGAAAATCCTGGTGAACAGAAATTTAGGTGTACAATGACTTGTAAAAGTTTCCCTCCTTCTCTCATGAAAGCCAATTTCTGGCCAAAAAAAAAAAAATCCACTCTTCACATGTTTGTCTTTCAAATGCATTTAATAAAGACTAGCTTGGGAATAACAAAGTGACCCAGTTCAGAATAGGAAGGAGGATCCACACTGAAAGGCAGGCTCATAAAGTGAGGACCCCTCAAGGTGAATCAGTGGCAAGGCCCACCCCACATGAATTGTCAGCCCCACCTCATCCTGTTCTCATTTGTGCATCAGCGTTTCCTCCTCAGCCCTTCCCCTCTCTGCCTCCCTGGCCAGCCTGTCTGCCCTCAGGGCCTTAGCTAGCCTTTGCCTGGCTTTCTTCACTTTCCTAGCCTGTCTCTGGATGTCTGCAGTGGTCACTGGCTGGTTGTAGGGGGGCAGTGAGAGATGAGCACCCACTCCTGGGCTTCTCTTCACTGAACTTGCAGATGGGACAGGAATGGGGCTGGGGTGGCTGTGCATACCCCCACCACCAGCTCCACTCAGGCATTCCTCTGGAATTCCTGGAGCAATTATTTTTAAGGTGTTTGCAAAATCCATGGGACTTAAAATTGCCCCTTCACTGCTGCAGGCCTGAGGACCCTGCAATCTCCTGTACGCGCAGAGTTGCTGGGGCTTCTCCAGACTCTTGTCCCTTGGCCTGCGTCTGACTGCATTGTCAAGATGGGACCTGATTCTAGTCACAGGCTTTGGGAAGATGCAGCTGGTCAGCCTGGTGGGCAGCTCAGACCTCAGAACACGTCTTTGATTGGTCTTGGCAATGAGGAGTTCTTGTTTCTTCTGCAAAGTTAGGGGTATCATATTTCTTTTCAGTGTCCCCTTTAAAGAGAAAACAAAATGTGAGATTTAAACACACTGGAGATGTAGAATATCACTATGGAAGATCAGCCTCTCTCCCTGGGGAACTGTGTCTCTGACTGCACTAGGCACTACAATCACTTGTGAAGTTGATTAAAACTCAGATTTCTGGAACTCAAGTAGGTCTGGGGAGGGGCCTAAGAATTTGCACACCTTGATGTTCCCCTATGTTCCTGGTGCTGGTCCAGGCTCTGAACACTGAGACTAAATCCTTTGACTTCATACAGCTAATGGAGTCAAGGAAAAGAGCTCCAGGTCATTATCCAGCGCCAAGGCCCAACCATAACCCTCCTGCACCTTCCCCCGAGGGCACTATTCCCTCCTCTTCTTAGGGAAAGTTCTATCCTATGTGCTAAACATGCCGCTGCCCCCAAACCCACCATGTCTGGGACACAGGGTCACAGATGTCCTTGCATCCCCAGACTCCAGATTTCTCTGTATCTCTTTTCATTGAACTTTAGGACACAACCATCACCTTCTAGTTTCTGTAACTTCTTTACCCCTGGTCTCCAAAGACATCAGGCTGAACTCCACCCTTAAACACTCACTTCCACACCCAGATCTCATCTTCACTTAAACTTCACTCATAAATAAAATCCTCAGAAACTCCTGGCTTCCTGTCATATGTATTTCTAATAAATTCACTAACTACAACCATACAGTAACAGAAACTTTAGATGGTAAAGTGCAGTAGCTGATTAATCACTGTTTAAAATAATTGGTTCTCCCCACTAATCCAATTATAACACTCTAGTCTCATTAATCTGTTTAAAATACAAACCCAATCAATGTGCTCTTTAGTGTAAAACCTTCATTTCTGTACCTCCCCTTTTATTTCTGTTGTCCTAGAATAATTATTAATACTCCCCCTTTAATTACCCAAGATGTCTCAGTTTGGATGGAAAATTACTTGGTTCCTTTGGTTATAATAAGACAGGGAACTGGCAGGCCCTGCTGGATAAGGAGTCATAGATCCCTTACCAAGGTCTTACTCTGTTTGCACTTTCCTGAATTCTTTCCTGCCCAAACCCAAGCATCCATTTGGTTTGTAGGCCACACCCCAGTGCAGGCTGGACACCAGTAGGGGGCCACTATTTTGTGTCAGTAGGGCACCTACTACATGTCAAGGTGTGCATTAAAACTCAGGATAAAGCCACTGCATTCTTTATTCTGATCTTGGTGAGAAGAAAAACATAATAAAAAAATTAATGCATTTCTTACAGAATGTCAGCTATGATTACGTTCTCTGATGAACAAGGGAGAGAGAGAGAGATTGAGGAGGGGAGAGAAAAGACATTCATTTCAATTAACAATGATGGTGAGTTTAGGGAAGGCCTATGATCACATGATTCTAACTACAGTAAAAATTTTTTTAAACACACATTCTAGTTAATGAATTTTCCAGAGAGCGGTATAATTTGAACAGTACAGGGTCAGATAATTCTACCTGTAGAATTATCACTTTAAAAATAAAATCTGGCCTGTGATCCCAAGATAGCTTCAGATATTAAAAAAATAGAATTATCTTGAATATTTCTCAACAAAATTTAGCACATAGAATAGAACTTTCCCTAAGATATCATCTTGTTTGAAGAACTACTGTCTGCTAAATTTAAGAGGTTTTACAGAAAGAAAAGGGGCACAAATGGATACTCTCACTATCACTATGGGTCCAATACTCACCAGAAATATCTTGCTTGCAGAGGAGGTGGACACAGGTTCCTCCATGGCAGCTGAGTTTGTCCTAGCAACTCCACTCCTGAGATGCAGACAGATGGCCTAAAGTTTGCTGGAAAGTGTGGTGAACTTCCTCATCTCACTCATCTTTTATAGAGGAAAGGAGTGGATAATCCATTCAGTGGGAAATAGCTGGAGATATCCTGTCCTCTATCCACAAAGTCTGAAAGATTCTTAAATCTTTATAAAGAAACAATATGGGATTACAGGCACTGTCAAATAGTGTTGAAAGAAAAGGCAACGTTTAATACATTTATGTGTGAGGGGATGGTATTTCTAGTTAACATCCTCATTTTACATATGTTTCCTTTTCCCGCTACTGTTTCAACATCTTTGAACACATCCTATGCAAATGGGAATGGAAGTTTCTATGTACGGAAATTTTCACATAGTATTTTTCATTACTATTATTTTAAAAGGAAATATTAAGGACTGATTAAATGTTTATCAGTAAAAGAATGCCCAAAGAAATTATTCGCAATTTTACAGAATACATCACACAGCTGTTCAAAAGAGATTAAAATTTTGTCCATTTACATTTCATGAAATTACCAGTAAATTTGGGGTTACTTCAATTGTCTTATTTTTTTCCTTGGGTTTGACTTAACTAATCAATTTTCTATTTGTCCTTTACTAACTTTGAATTATATATTATTTTATTGCTCTTTCTATAATCTTTTTTATTTTATTTTTTTTATTAAATTATAGCTGTGTACATTAATGCAATCATGGGGCACAGTGTGGTGTTTCATATACAATTTGAAATATTTTCATCAAACTGGTTAACATAGCCTTCATGTCATTTTCTTAGTTATTGTGTTAAGATGTTTATATTCTACTTTTAGAAAGATTCACTTGTACCCTTGTAAGATAAACCATAGAGGTGATCCCTCCAATCACCCTCCCTTCACCCATTCACCCCCCTCCCCTCCCCTCCCCATATTCTTAGGCTATAATTAGGTTATAGCTTTCATATGAAAGCTATAAATTAGTTTCACAATAGGGCTGTGTACATTGGATACTTTTTCTTCCATTCTTGAGATACTTTTCTAAGAAGAACATTTTCCAGCTCCATTCATGTAAACATGAAGGAGGTAAAGTCTCCATCTTTCTTTATGGCTGCATAATATTCCATGGTGTACATATACCACAATTTATTGATCCATTTGTGGATTTATGGGCATTTGGGATTCTTCCATGACATAGCAATTATGAATTGGGTTGCAATAAACATTCTGACACAAATATCTTTGTTGTAATGTGATTTTTGGTCTTCTGGATATATAGCTAATAAAGGAATTGCAGGATCAAATGGCAGGTCTATTTTTAGTTCTCTAAGTGTTCTCCAGATGTCTTTATAAAAGTAATGTATTAGTTTGCATTCCCACCTCTTCAGATTGCATAAATCTTTTGCCTTTTTTTGGGGGGGGGGACAGAGTCTCACTATGTCACCCTTGGTAGAGTGCTGTGGCATTACAGCTCACAGCAACCTCAAACTCTTTGGCTCAAGCAATTCTCTTGCCTCAGCCTCCCAAATAGCTGGAACTACAGGCCCTCACCACAGTGCCTGGCTATTTTTAGAGATGGGATCTTGCTCTTGCTCAGGCTGGTCTCAAACTCCTGAGCTCAAGCAATCCACCCACCTTGACCTCCCAGAATGCTGGGATTATAGGTGTGATCCACCCCCAAGGCCTCTCTATAACCTTGTCAGTTACCATCACCTACAAATCCATTACTATCATGATTAAATTGTAAATCTCTTATATCATCTGAAACAAATAATTACTTTAATTCCTCCCTCCAATACTAATATCTTAGAACCCTTTTCTTTCTATTTTTACCCTTCTTATCTTTTGCATTCATGTTGTTAATTATGTATATATTTTATTCTCTGCCAGACGTTTCTAGGATTGCTTCATAAAAACAATCTTCATGAATATCTATATTTTATTATTTCTGTTCCTTTCTTAATTTCTTAAGAAATTAATTTCTTAATTAACTATTTCTTAATTCCTTCCTGCATTTTTAGTTTTCAATCTGGGATTATTTTCCTTTGGACCTCAGACATCACTGTCATGTTTTTTAGTAATTCAATGCTGCTAACAATAAAAGGTTTTCATTTACAGCTTTCTAAGGCATCTTTATTGGGGGGCAATATTGTTCCTGGATCTGAATTTCTTGTTTGACAGATGTCTGTTAACACTTTAAAACTGGTGTTCCATTGATGTCTCTCTCATTTTACTGATGTTGAGACATTAGTCATGAGTCTTTCTCTTGTTTCTTTGGCCTCTGTAGTTTCTAAAATCTTTCTCAGTGTTTTCGGTTTGTAGAGCAAGGTGGTATAGCTAATTATTGCTTCCTGAACATTCACCTTCACTAGATGGTGTGTTAATTGCATCTGTGTGGGTTGATGTCTTTCATGAGTTTGGAATGTGCGCATCTATTTTTACTTCTGATGTCCTTTCTTTGTCACATTCATTCTATTCCTCTTTTAATCACATCCCACTTATCCTTAACTCTATCCTGAATGCTCCAGTGTTGTTCATCCTGTGTTTTGCTCAGGATATTTGCTCTTCAACTGTCTTCCACTTTAGTAACTGTTCAATTTCTCATCAATTTGTTACATTCTTAATTTCAATGCTGAATACAAAATACAATAGCTTCAATTAAAAAAGAGGCTGGGCCAGGCAGCTCATGTCTATAATCCTAGCACTCTGTGAGGTTGAGGAGAGAGGATTCCTTGAGCTCAGGACTTTAAGATCAGCCTGAGCAAGAGTGTGAACCTTTCTCTACTAAGAATAGAAAAAAAATTAACCTGGTGTTGTGGAAGGCTCTTGTAGTCCCAGCTACTCAGGAGGCTGAGGCAGGACGATTGCTTGAACCCAGGAGTTTGAGGTTGCTGTGAGTTAGACTGATACTATGAATCTCTAGCCTGGGCAACAGAGTTATACTCTGTCTCAAAAAAATATGTAGGAGAGCAGCTTCATAATCAATGAGGTGATGTCTTTTCCTTTTTCTACAATGAAACTTACAATGGAATGGAGAAAATTATAACCTGGGCCATGCTTTGATATGTTAACAGATGCTGTTCATTAAAGGCACCAGTATGAAAGAGAGAGGTGGAAAAACCAGAGTGGGAGAAGATATTTGCATTACTTTCGTTCTGTAAAGTACATCGAATCTAAACTAATAAAAAACTTACTTAGAAAATGGGTGAAAAACTTGAATAGGTCTACACAAAGAGGATAAACAAATGTATCATACAAATGTGAACAAATTTTAACCTCTTTTGAAAGATTGCAATGAGATCTTATTACACACAGCAGTTTAACTAAATAAAAAAGACAGAAATTCTAAGTGCTAACACGGCTGTGGAACAGTCAGATTGTTAACAGAAGGCCATGGGAATTTACACAGGGGTATCCATTTGGAAATGTTATTTGGAGAATTCATTAGAGACAATCAACTGTTGAGCAGGAGAAAAATAAACTATCAGAAAAAAATAGAAAATTTTAAGAAACAGATGACAGCCCCTGTGTTTGATTAACCACCTGTGGTCTAACTCATTATTTCTAAAAGTTTGTTTTTAACAGCACTTGAGGAGTTCCCAGGAAGATAATAGTGAGCTCCTTCTACATCTTACAGGCCAGATTTCAAGGAGACCAAGGAGCCCAAGGAGCCAGCCTCACAGATCTGTGGTGCTGTAAAAAGTCAGGATGCCCTTGTGGGATGCAGGACAGGGTGGCAGAGAAAGGACAACTCTGACAAGATCGATGTCTCTGGTGTTTCTGATTTGTGAAAGTTCATAGAGATACATGTGTCTAATTATTGCACTCTTCTCTATATGTGTTATATTTCAATAATAATTTGGGGAAAAAAGACTAAGGTAGATGTTCTGGCTCCTGGCCTGGCTGCAAGAAACTCCTATGTCCTAAAAAAAGGAAAAAAAATCTCAGAAATATCGTACTGTGTATTCAGAATTGGCCAAAGGAATAGATTTCAGCTGGTTGTTACGCACCCACATACACGTGAAAACAATTAAGGGAGGAGCTGGCTATGTTGATTTACTTGATTGTGCTAATCATTTCACTAAACTAAGTCTATCATAATACCATGTTGTCCACCTTCAATATATACAGTTCAAAACAAAAGGTAGCAGGTGGGGCTCAGTGGCTCTTGCTTATAATCCTGGGACTTTGGGAGGTGAGGCAGGAAGATCTCTTGATGCCAGGAGTTTGATACCAGCTTGGGCCACACAGTGAGAACCTATTTCTGAAAAAAAATTCTGACATTATCTGGCATGTTGGTAGGGGCCTGCAGCCCCTGCTGACTTGGAGCCTCCTGGCAGGAGTCCAGGGTCACAGGGCTTTGTATATGGCACTGCAGTCCAGCTTGGGTGAGATCCTGTCTCAAAGACAATAGCAACAACACCCCCCAAACCAATGAATAAACAAACAACAAGCAATCTCAACAGCCTTCGTCCCACCAGTTTCTACTCATGTTTTCCTTATTAATTCTCATGCTATTTTCCCTCTACAAATCTTCCTGGCTTGATCTTTGGGGAGGCAGCCAGATGCTGGCAATTTTGCCAATTTGGACCTGGGGATGGAATGTGTAGCAATTTTCTCCCACCTAAGTTTCTTGTGTTGTTTGTATTTCAAAACATTGTACTTTTTCCCTTAAGTTCCTATTAAAATATATGGGTTTCCTCTGGAAGTCTGGAGGTATAAAGAATACTGTAAGTGTAAGGCAATAAATGAAAACAGGATAATATAGTTTGATTATCACTATTTGGAACCACTAATAACTTAGTCTTAGCAGGCGTCACAACTTAGAAAATTAAAAAAGGTTCAGCAAAAGGTTAAGTCCTTTGGTTTCAACCTCAAATCCCCTTGATCAATGGATGTCAGCTGGCTATGTTAGGTGACACCACGTGCAATTCTGAAAATCCAAACTGTGGTAAACTGAGCAGGACAGACAACCCCATTCCTTTGAGAAATAATTTACACGCACATGTGTCCCTCTCTCCCTGTTTACACCGCCAGAATAAGTGGGCTGCAGAGATCTAAAATTGTCTTCAGAAATATGTCAACCAGTTGTACATTGGGTTTTATATGGGTCCTGAATCAAATGTAATATAAAACCAAGAAACAAATGGACACGGGTGGAAGAATTTGAATAGTGACCAGAGACTTGATCACACCAAGAACATATTTTCTTTCTTTCTTTTTTTTTTTTTTGCAGTTTTTGGCAGGGGCTGGGTTTAAACCCACCACCTCTGGCATATGGGGCCAGTGCCCTACTCCTTTGAGCCGCAGGCACTGCCCCGAACATATTTTCAAGTTTGTGAGTCACCAAAGTGCAAAAAGTTAGTGAATAAAATGAAATAGAAACTAAAAATAAATAAATAAGAAAATTCTATCAAGAAATCTTTCATGATAAGTGGCAGAGGAGAAAATAGACATGACAGCAGGGGATTAACCTTGGGTCAAGCATAGAGTCTTTCTATTACTACCTATTAAACTGTATAATGAGGCATCATAGGCTGGGTGGAGTGATGCAGCTCCAGTCCATCCACTGCCCACTGCTCAGAGGACAGGCATGAGACCAAACCACCCCTGCGACTGGGAATCTGGGTGCGTAGCTGCTGCGTGGGCTGCTCTTGGAACACATCCAAACAGTTGCTGGTATTCTTGTTCTTGTTACCTTCAGACAGGGTCTTGCTCTGTCTCACAGTAGGAGTGAGTGGCAGCAAAGCTATTTATAGCTGCAAACCCTGAGCTCGAGTGAACCTCCCTCATGAGCCTCCTGAGGAGCTGGAATTACAGGTGTGCCACAGCATGCTTGGCTAATTTCTATACTTTTTTATTTTTATTTTTATTTTTATTTTTTGCAATTTTTATTTATTTATTTTTTCCTGTTTTATTATTTATTATTTTTTATTTTTATTAAATGATAGCTGTATACATTAATGCAAACATGGGGTATAGTGTGGAGTTTTCATATACATTTTGAAATACTTTCATCAAGATGGTTCACATAAATTTCACGTCATTTGCATAGTCATTGTGTCAAAACATTTACATTCTAGTTCTAGAAAAGTTCACTTGTACCCTTGTTAGACAGAAATATAGGTGATCTTTCCTGTCACCCTACCACCACCCAGCCACCCTTGTCCCCTCCCCTTCCCCACTCCCTCCCCATATTTTTAGGCTAGAATTAAGTTGTTTCTTTCATTTGAAAAGTATATATTAATTTCATAGAAGGGCTGTGTACATTGGATATTTTTTCTTCCATTCCTGTGATACTTTAATAAGAAGAACATTTTCCAGTTCCATCCATGTAAACACAAAGGAGGTAAAGTCTTCGTTTTTCTGTAGGGCTGCATAGTATTCCATGGTGTACATATACCACAGTTTATTGATCCATTCGTGGATTGATGGGCACTGGGGCTTCTTCCATGACCTGGCAATTATGAATTGTGCTGCAATAAACATTCTGATACAAACATCTTTATTGTAATGTGATTTTTTATCTTCTGGGTATATACCTAATAGTGGAATTGTAGGATCAAATGG